AAATAAGATGACAAAAAGTAGCCAGGTTGCAATTTGAGCTTAACAAAAATCGTTTGTTCACAGTACTTGAGCCAAATAAATTTTCCAACTGCAAAGTCACAAGGAAAGTCCATATCCCAAAATTAGACATCAGCCCAACTTGAAGGAGTATTCAAAGATGTTTCAAAGTGGCTGTGACAAAGTTGTTTTCCCACTTCAGATTATATACTGTATTCAGTCAGCTCTTTTGCTGATGCACATCAACATGGCTCTCCTTAAACCATGCTGTAGAGATGTATCTTTTCTTCTACGTGTCCTTCTATGTTCCTAGTAACTCAGATTTTAAATTGGCAACAAATTCACATAACCTATTATTTTTAGACATACATTTATGGAACTCAGACACTTTGTATATTTATTCCCCACCATTTTAACTCAAGTATGTAATTTTGTTATTCAGATCGAATTAGGAGAGAAAATGCAACTAGAATAGCAGGCTTAGGCTTGCTATTAACTTTTTCAGACAGAGTTATAAATTTCAACAAATAGGTTATAATTGAGGAGCCAGCATGACCTTTATTATTTCAGAAGGTTCAGCCATAGCAGCTCAGTGTGACTTCAGCTAGACTATTAGTCACTCTGTCAGATAGAACCATTAACATCCAACTCAGTCTGGCATCCACATATGATCTGATCCTTAAAACTGGCCTGAATAAGCTTTACTCTCAACAGCTCCAATCCAGGCACTGGAATTGCTCTTACAGAAATACCATATTCCTAGTGAGTAAAGTAGCAAATAACTGATATTTCTGTCATAATTGCAATCAAAGAAAAAAAGTAAAAAAAAAGGCTCCCACAGAAGAGTATTAGAATATTTATTAGTAAAGTCCTATTTTCAGGCAATCAGGAGCAGCTCGCTCTCAGAGAAAAACTGAACTAGTACTGTGTGCCATGCATTCTTGTATCATTCTATTCCATTATTAAGCACACAGCCAAATAGATAATCCAGTAGTAAATATTTCATAAAATTTGTACTTAATACTTAGGGAAGTACAATATAAAAACAACCACTTTATCAGAGTCAGTGTTTCCATCAAAGCAATGTTTTCTGTTACAGCAGAATCCTTTTATCAACAAAAATCCCTGCGATGTTACAAACGACCTTAAGACAACCAAATTATTATTATGACTTCAATTAATTCTAAAACTTTTTAATGCATACAATTGACATAAACATGATGAAAGACGGACTAGAAATAGGGCATTACGCACAAAAAAATACTAGTTGATGTGTTACAAAGACTCAAGGTAATGCTTCCTTTGTAAATCATGTATGTGAAGGAACACAGCTACACCTCCCTTCATATTGTTATCATTTGAAGTTTCTTTCTCAAGTGCATGCATACGGAAGAAGCGGTTCCACTCGACATAGGAATAGACAGATCATTCAGCTCAAGTGCTGTGAAAATTTGACAGACTCCTAAAACAACGGAAACACACACTGATAACGCGTTACTTGTGGAAATGGTACGTGCATGAGCGTGCAGAGGCATTTACACAGCTGTCAAGCCACGGTAATCAGCGTTGCTAAGTGTGCCTGCAACACCAAGACAAATATTTGACCTATTTTCTTAGCAGAATTTAGCTGTCATCATTCTTAGCACCACGCTCTCGTGAATCAGCCACTGCCAAAGCACTAAGCCAACACGGGCGCAGAATTCTTCGCCGAGAGTGAAGAGCTTCCTTGCACCGAGCGAGGTTTGTTCCAGCGGTAAAGCGATCGGCACCCTCAAGCCCACATCCCTCAGCCGGTTCCGGGCTGCGCCCGCTCGCCCCCGTCCTGGCAACCCCCCCGCGCCCGTCCGCGCCGGGGACTCACGTTTGTAGCTGGCGGCCCAGGGCTGGTAGCCGTAGTAGCCGGTGATGCGAAGGATGCGCTCCTCGATGGAGGTGAGCCCCACGGACGCGCTGGTGAGGTCCTCCACGGAGCGGGACCACTTCAAGTCCTCTTTAATGGCCTCGTCCACCACCAGGTACTTGAGCTGCCGCAGCTGAGGGCTGATGTCGGACAG